GTCCATCTACACTCAGTGTGTCTCAGTTTCTTTCTAGGCAAAATGAAGCTAGTAAAAATACCAATGCTCAAGGCTGAAGTGACAACTGAATTCACACAAGTGAAATATTCAGAATAACTCCTGGCACAAAGTACATTCTAAGCAAATGTTAGTCATCATTATTGGTGTTACTTTGCATGCACTAGGCCTCAAAAATACATGTTAAATATGAATTTTTATATGTATGTACCTTTTTTTTAACTAGCATAAAGGAATTGTTATAGATTGGATCAAAATTATAAAATGCAAAAAAATATGTGAACACTTCATTAGAAGGAAAGAAAAAAGAATTTACTAATATTGGGATTTTATTGTATAACAACACCTGCCTTAGAGAAGCTAGCCTTAATCAAACAAATACAAACACATTCCAGAATGTCAGCACTCACTGTAAAGGAAAATAACAAGAACCACATCTACTCACATTCCCTGAGCACTCACTGTGTGCCAGGTATCACACTAATGATTTCCCAAAGTCAATGTCACAGTTCATGTTCTTAAGATCCCTAGGAAACAGGCTCCCCATTTGGCAGATGAGGAAACTAAAAATGGAGATCACCCTGCCTGCCCAAGGTCATCCAGCTAGTTAAGGAAAGACACTGAGAACAGAATAAGGATTTTTCCTCTCTATGCCAATGGTTCCCTGCAGATAGGATAGATAGACCAGAAAAATCAAGAAACTTCCAGAAAAGAAAAAAAAAAACAGATTGGCAGTTTTGTTTTGCCAAGAATAGATGATCATTTCATAAAAGAAAGGGCATTTTAATATGAAGACAGAACGGAAAATATCAGTATAAATTCAAGAAATGACAGTGGCCTTATACCCAAATGTGTGTAAGTATGGATATGATGTGCCAGACTTTCTTTCTCGTTTTACTACATACTTGTGCAAACTTCACCCGCTTCTCTTTGAATCAGCATTTGAGGACAACTGTCAGATCCTTCTTGCCATGATAAACCTAATAATCACTGGCATTCCCGTTTATAATTTTCAGGAAGTTTAATAACATCTGTCTAAAACAGCACTAAAATTTTCAGGAGAAACTGTAATTCAATTAAGCCAGTTCTGAAGTCTGCCCAGGAAAAGAGTAACTACAAAGCCACAGAATTCTGCACAGAGTAATCCAAGCGAAAGGACCATGAGGCAATGCTACCATGTTCTAGGATGTTGTTTTTCCCTCCAAAAGACCTACTGAGCTCCATCGTTCCTCGGCACTCACTGGGCATAACTATATCAATGTATGCATTTAGGTTTTCTCTGATACTATCCTCTGCCCCACACTTTTCAGAAGTCATCCCCAAAGAACACACAAAGGTTTCCAAAACCTTGTTGGAAGAACCAAAGTGCAAACAATTCTTTGTTAAAACCTTTTCTTAGAGCATGAGTCTTCCTATGACTCAGACTCATCAAACAGTATGACCAAAATGGAGTTCACAGAATGTGCATCCAGCAACTTAACATTTCTAAAGTCAAGGATGCCTGGATTAGGAACAAAATGTGCCCCTTCTCATGAAATACTTGAATATCCAAGCTGAGTCCAAATGAAGAATATACAAATTCCTCTTTGGAGAAAGGCTACTGGATAACTCTTTTAAAAGGAATATAACGTTGAGTGCAAAAACAAAAATCATACACCTTATCCTGCATGTAATACTAAAGAAGAAAGCCACACATACTCAAAAAATATTTCCTGCCACGCATTGGTCTAGGCCAGTAGTTCTGAAGTAGGGGTGATTTGTCCAGCACAGGGCATGTGACAATATCTGGAGACATTTTTGGTTGTCACAACTGGCAGAGGGGGCAGTACTAGCAGGAAAAGACCAGAGATTCTGCTGAATATCCTACAATATATTGGACAGCCTTGCATAGCAGAGAAATATGTGGCCCAAAATGTCAAGAGTCCTAATGCTGAGTAACTCTTTTCTAGGCTCTGGGGACCCCAGAGTGAACAAGGAGCAGAAAGAAGTCCTTGCTCCCTTAGAGTATGCAATCAAGCTATGAAAAGCAGAGCTGGGCAAAGAAGATTGAGAGTTTGGAGAGATAGCAATTGTGAATACTGCAGTCACAGAAGACCACATTAGCAGTGTGATGGGAATCATGGGAACAACATTTAAAGGAAGACTAGAAGTTGGTGTGGGAATGAGTGTTGTGGCTGTATGGGCAAAGGATGATGCAGGCAGAGGCAAGTGCACTAAACAAAAGCCCTGCAAGGGCCTGAGGTATTCCAAATCAGTGAGGAGAGCTGTGAGGGTGGCAGCAAGTGGTACGATCAGCCTGCATGGTTAGGCTGCTTTGTGCCATTTTAAGGACATTGAGTTTACTAAGAAAAAGCTAGCAGCTATGGAGGGCCTTGACCAGAGAATGACATGCTATGGCTAGATTTAACACATGCACCTAAAGCTCCTTTGTTTTGGGAGCTGTCCTGTGTGCTATAGAATGGTTGGCCGTACCACTACCACCTACTTACTGAAGATCATAACAATCCACTTCCACTCTGATGACTAAAACTATCTCCAGAGGTTACCAAATGATCCCTGGGAACAGGACTGAATCACTCTCTGGTGGAAAAATCACTTTAAACAGGAACATTGTGGCTGTTGAGTTGAAATCCACTAAGACTGGACAAGGGTAGAAGGGCTAAGAGTGGTTTGGTTCAAAATGGTAGCAGAAGAGTTGGCAAGCAATGGGCAGATTCTATTTTCAACTCCAAAGGACAATCTGGAAAATACAATGGATAGATATCTAGCTACAGAAAACTTAACCTTTGAATTAAAAAGCTTTTTTCCAACTAGGATGCATAAGAGTGAGGATAAAAAGCAAGGAGAAAGTCTTAAGCAACGTGCAGCCCTTTCAAAGTCACACAACAGATGTCGATGATAATACCTTAGACAACTTCGGGAAACAGTATAGGGAAATGTTGCCAACCCCAGAGATTTATTCACAGATTTTATTTAACTGGTTTATTTCAAAGACCATGTGTCTGCTCCATATACAAGTTTGACAACAACTTTTTTTAATTTAGCCTTCCTTCTCCATATTGGCTCTGTCCCGCACCTGCTTCTAGCATCAACGTGTGAAGCCATTTCTTCCCACATACTCACCCACATTTTTTCTTACACGTGCTAGCTAGCTAGCTAGCAAGGATGTGCACCCTTGCAAGTAAATTTTGCTGACTCTGAGAAAGAACAAGCCCAAATCCTTCGACATAAGTGGGGTGGCACTCATCTGGCTTTTTCCAGATGGCATTTTCCTCACTCCCTCAAACTCACTTAATGTTATGTATCAGCTACCATCAAAAATGTTCCAAACAGTCCAGTTAATTCATTTCTTTCAGGACTACACACACACACACACACACACACACACACACACACACACTCCCTAATTCTGGCCATGTAAGCATTTGCTTATAGAAGCAAAAGCAGAGACTGCTCAGTAAAACACTGGTCCCTTCAGCCGAATGCAGATAAAACCCCAATGAGCATAACAAACAATACCCCTTACACAATATTACCCAACTCCCCCACCCTCCCACCCCCGCCCCCAACACACACAATCTATGCTCACACACAAAATAGCCATTATGAAGAGAATCCACCAACTAAAGGCTGGTTTTATGCATCTAACTGCCTAAGAAGTTTCCTTCCAGTGCGTGTTAAGCATCTACAAAAAGGGTACTTCGCTTCAACCCGGACACTTTCTTCCCCAACTTGGCCTCAGTCCTGCCACAGCCCTGACAGAAACAAACCTGGTTCCCAGCTTTATCGTCTCCAGAAGCAAAGATTCCACTGCCTCACTGATTCCACTGCCAGTCTTCATTGCCCCTGATTTCTGGGGGAAATTCTGCCAGTGGGTCCTACTCATCCGGGCCCTGGTCACAGTGAAGGGTAGGGAAGGAAGTTTGGAATGGGCACCCCACTGATTAGCTTCCAGTTATAGTCATCTCAAAACTGGGGACTGAGCTGGGGAGGGGTGTGTGTGGAAAGAAACCCTTTTCTGCTATCACAGCCTCAAGTGACCATCCTCTTTTGGTGAACATAAGAAATGAGAAGTGTGAGGGGTCCAGAGAGGCGACAGGACAGTGAGAAAGGAAGATCTCCAACCCATTCCCCCAGACAGGTGGGAATGAGGATAGCAAAGAAAGGTGGGTACTGGGGGTAGGGGAGGCACCAGATCTCAGGTTTTCTTCACTCTCCTAAAGTTTTTGAAGCTCCTAGGAAATTAAACATGTCACTACCTTGTAGAGGACACTCCCAACAGCCCCCCGGGCCCAAAGCTTTTCTCCTCCACCAAAGGCCTGGATATGCACCGGACTCTAATTCCAGGGAGCTTCACCGCGGGCAAAGAGTCACGCCCACCCACTGTCCCCATCCCCCACCCCTGCCCCTCTCGCGCTGCAACGCAGCCATCTGACAGGTGAGAGGCGGGGCCCAGGGAAACCTCACCTGGAGGCCGCCAAGGGCTGGTTTCCGCAAAGGGGCTGCGTGCTCCTTGCTTCCCTCGACCGCCGCGTCTCAACTCACCCCAAGCTGCCCCTCTCAGAGACCTCAGCCCGGCTGGGTTCTTCAGAAAAATGGTTCAATAGAAACTTTCTCCCCCAAACCACCTGATCAGCGTCCCAACCCGGTTCTCCTCCTCCCCCACCTGGCGCAGGACCGCTCCCCAGCCCCCACCCAATCTCAGCAGCTGACAGCTCCAGCCCAGGGTTCCCACACCTGGACGCCCGGTCCCCAGCGGCCCCGACGGCCCCAAAGTGCCCTCATGTCAGAGAATCGGACGCGCGCGGGCCGGCCAGGAGCGGACCCCAATTGACAGGGGGCAGACTGGTCGCCCTCAGTCCCAGGGCAAGGACACGGGGTCCTTGTCCTAGAGCTTGGGAAAACGGCTCTCCTCGCCCTAGAGTGGGAGACGCGGCGTCCCCCGGCCTCCCGCCGCGGCCCCTCCAGCTGTCACCGCTCACCTGCTCTTCAGAGGTTGACTTTTGAGTTCATAATAGGTTTTGGGCTCTTCGTGAAACTCCTCCCCGACTTCGAAATCCGGCACGATCCCCGATTCCGACTGCATGGTTCCCGCTTGCTAGCCTTCCACAGCTCGAAAGTGAGAACGCAGCCCGGGGACAGAGCGCAGGTGGCGGGGCCTGGGTCCCCCGAGCCGTGCGCCCCGCGCAGTGCCCAGCTCAGCCCGCTACCCGCGCGCTGCCGCCCGCCCGGCGCGGTGAGTTTACACTCGCGCCCCGGCGGGAGGGGCCGCGGCCCAGCGTTGTCTGGGATTTGTAGTTTAACCAGTGCGTGGCTCCCTGACTGGCCAGGGGAGCGCTTCCCCCCAGAAAACTACAACTCCCAGAAGGCCAGGCGCGGCCTGAAGCAACGTGGTGAACACCACTAGTGCAACTCCTGTTTGGATTCATTGTCAATGTCAGCAGCTTGCTCTCCCTCCTCTCTCCCACTTGCTTCAAGGGTACAGACTTGGCTATTTAAATTAATAAGAACGGACTCGACCTGCTCTCCTACGGTCACTCCTCCTCCCAGCTCAGACTTGCGAGGGCACGCCGAGTCCTGGTTTTAAAAATAAAATACTGAAGGGTTTTGGCAATAGAAAGTTTGAGCATTCAAGCCTGTCTTAAAAGGACTTCCTATCAGCCTTCACGGTTCCCTGGGCTGCTGCGACCTATCAACTTGTCGGATTGGAACAGAGCATTGGAACTGTACTTCACTTTGTAATGAAAACATTATTGGAGAAGTTGTTCTTGTGCGTTCTTTCTCTGGAAGGAACTCAGTCTGGGCGTTGCAATACTCTATTCATCAGCTGAGCTGCACTTCCCCGTTTATCCAATTAACCACTTCTAATCTAAAGCAGCTCTCGAAAGATTCCGTGAATATTAAAAGGTACGAAGTTCCAAAATAGTGTCATCACCATCTGCTTTCAATTTCTCAGTTTGGCTAAGGCTTCAAATGAGATTGTCCTAACATTTCAGGAGTGTGTGCACTCCTGAGCGTCCCAGCACTCGCTTGGGTAACAGAACAATAGGCTCGCTTTTAGCTCATTTATACTTCCAGTCCTGCCCTCTGATCAGTTCCAGTAGAATGTCTTTCTTTTATAAAGAAGTATCTGGAGGCATCAAGGAGGCAGCAGAGAGTTGAGGCTGGCATCTGAAAATAGAAAACTCAGAATCGAAAATCTCTAGTTCTTCTAAGAAATCCTGTGCAATCTTAGGCATTTCACTAGATTCCTAGAAGCCTCAATTTCCTCATCTATAAAAGAAGACATCGGGAAATCTGTTTTTAGAAGGTGGTTGCAAGGTCGAATGTAAGAGAAAGGGATTTATAATCTGTATTTTAAAAAACACTGGTACTAGCATCTCGTGGGTGCTTGTGCTTTCAGAAGTATTAAACTGACTGGCCATCCTAGGAGAAAACTCTTAGAAGGCTCCTCCAGGAGCTCCCATTCGCATGTCTTGCCTCTCAATGAAACATTTTTTATTTCACATGAGAAAGATCCCAGTTAGGAAAGGTTAATTTTAGAGCTGACATCTCTTGCAGATTTGTGGACGGTGCAGAGGCACACTGTGTTGCAATAGCACTTATGAAAATCCCATAATAGTCCCCAAAATAGTTCTCTTGGTCCTTCACTGCAACCACTAAAATATGACAATACATGAAAATGCTCTGAAGAAAGCAGAATATTCCTTGATACATGAAGCATGGAAATGAGATGCCAAAAGTGAAGAATTGTGACTCTGCTAGGGGAAGAGGAAAAGTCAAACAGAAAGGGGCCTTGTAGTCTAGACTCCTAATCTTATCCATGCTTGGTATGTGGAAGTAGGGACTGCTTGTCACAATAACTTGGAGCTACTCCAGGCATTCAAGGGTATGATCAGAGATGCTAACCATCTTACATAATAACAAACTTTTTTGTCCAAATGTCAGTGTCACCCCTCCCCAAGAGACACTGAAGTCATCTTAATCTTTTAGCCCATCAGAAGCCTTTTTAATCTGAGGGAAGCTATGGACCCTCTTAGTAAACACAGATGAAAGCAAAATACTGTACATAATTTTGGCCTGTTGGCCTTTTGAAGGCAATCATAGACTTCATGTTAGAACTGAGGTTTATAATCTCTTTAGAAGTGTACCAGACCTTTCCATTATACTATTCATTATATTGAACAGTGACCTACCAGACCTAAAGGATCAACCTCAAAGGGGGAAAAAAAATCTGTCAGGAAAGTCAAGAATTCTGAACTTGTCTCCAACTAAATGCACCTTCTGGAGAGATCTCTGGGGGTACAGAGGTCTGTGCTGAGGCTGCCTTGAGATACACACAGATAGCTGGGGGGGGCCCTATTCACCTCTACTTATGTCTTGTTCTGCTCTTTGTTCAGAGAAACTCCCCAGGTTATTCATTATACTGTAATTGTCACCCAATAGGAATGGGTATGTGGACTCATCCTGACCAATTAGAGGGCCCCATTTCCTTAGCCATAGTGATTCCTTTAGGAATAGACAGGGCCCCAAGATGACTAGAAGTCCTCCTTGAGACTTTTCTGCAAGGACAACTGAAGAAGAATGTCTGATTTTTGAAGCATGATGCTAGAAAAAAGAAAACCTGGACCTTCTTATCTATGGCCACATAAGGAAGCTGATGATGGGAGAGAGTGATATAATATCAACAAAGGAAAACAGAGACAAGCAAAACTGAGGAATAGAAAAGTATAATAGCATTGTTGATTCTTTATTCCAACCATAACAGAAGTCAGATATCCTTAGACTTTTCAGGTTTATGAAAAATAAAATTAAAACATTCTTTTTTTGCTGGAATTATTTTGCTTTAAGTTTTTGTCCCTTGTGACCCAAACGAGCTTTGTGTCACAGCCATAAAAAAATCTTTCACTCCTTTAAAGGGATAATTTCCTATGGACTGCCACACCATCAATCCACATACAAAACAGTGACCACTTGATAGACATCCTCAGTAATTTCTCTTCATTAATGAGTTCAAAACTAGGAGCAGGTGCAACTTCTAAAAACAGGTGATAAATCAATAGTTTCATATTGAAACTGAGGGTTGTACCTAGTAATTGTAGAAAGGCAAAGACTTTATAATGAGATTATAATTATTGCCCTTAATATCACCTGCATTTGTGTAATACTTTACGTAAATATTGGGGTCCACGAAAATCCTGCAAGAATGAATAAGCCAGGATTGCCACTGAGCACACAGTAGTTGTGAGTAGGGCCTGTGTTTGGTGCTCAGGCTTCATAGATATTTTTGACTTAACCCCTGCCCTCATGAGGCTTACAGTCTAGGAATTGAATACAGGTTTGCGACCCATGACAGTTTCCACATAAGGCAGCAGTGCTAAGCGTGACATGGCTGGTATATGATCCATAGTCTGGTAACCACCTAGCTCAGGAACTATTTATGATGCAATCAGTCTGTGCCAGGCACAGTGTGTGCTGGGTATGGAGGAAAGAGCAGCAATGACACATATGGGGTCCCTGCACTCAGGACATGGTCCCTACCTTTTTAGAAGTGGGAATGGACATAATTTAATGGGAAAGGGAATGGTGGACAGGTAAATGCTGCAAGTGTCTAAGAAAAGAACAACCAAGAGGGTACAGATGGTAAATGAAGAATTCTTGTACGTGTGATTAAGCTAGTTTTTTTTTAAGGGAAGGAAAAAAATCTAAGCTACATAAAAACTGAATGAAACCAAGGTCCTAGATCTAATCACCAACTTACAGGAAAAGCTGTGAGTGAGAACATGTTAATGATCGCATCCAATCGTTAACAAACAAGAAATTTAGAAATGCTACAAGACATTGAGAAACTCTTCAAAAAGTAAACAGCATGGAAAAAGAGGGAGCCGTCGTAGGTTTTAAGAGACTTAAGAGACATGGTAGGCATATGAATTATACCTCAATGATAAATAAATAAATGGGGGAACAGAAATATCCCTTAAATACATTTGTGAAATGTATTTGGATCCTTAGTCAAATAAATTAATTATAAAAATTCATTTGGGGGAAAACTGAGTTTGGGCTTGGATTAGAATTGAATGATTTTAAATAATTCTTATCTTTTTGTTGGACATTATAACTATAATAAGTTATTTGTATTACTTTGGGGTTGGCGGCAATGCTAGCATTGAATCCCTACTGTATTTTTTTGTTCTTGTCTGTTAGATGTGCAAATTAAGTATTGATGGTGAGATAATATGATGTCTTTGGTTTACCACTTCATTACTCCATCTCCTCCCTTTCTATTCCAAAAAGTCATGGGGAAAGGCAAGAGGAGAAATAAACAGTAAAATGCTGTAGCTGGATGATGGGGTATGAGAATTCACTCTACCGTTCTCTCTTGCTTCATGTAAATTTGGAAATTTCCATGGTCAAAGAAAAACTTAAGAGAGAAAACTATTATAATGATCATAAATGGGCTACAGTTTGTGATAAAACTAAATGAAAAGAATGAATGTAATTCCAAAAGAAAAAAAAAAGGACATGAGGGACATATGGAAGTCGGGTTTTTACACAGTGTGTTTGATAAAAAGGGAAAACAGAAAGTAACTAGGATTGAGTTAAGCGAAAGGTGTTTACTAGAGGTGTTCCGAGTAGCTCATGGACCCTCAGGAAGGACAGCAGAACCTAGTGGATACTCTGTGCCATGAGGAACAACTCCAAAACTTATGCCATAGAACTAGTCTAGCGAGACACCACCCACACCACCATTGTGACACTAAACATCAAGGACTGCACCTCTGACACAGAGCATAGGACACTGTCACAATGGTGCCTCTGAGAACTGGATATGGCCACAACCACCCACCATTAAATGGATTTGTCAAAGTACCCATTCCTTTACTCTTGCTTTGTCTTCCAACCAAGGTCAAGACTTGACTTGACTGGCAGATCTAGGGTGTGTGCCTAAGCCCTACCTGTGAGAGATACTAACAACCTAAAACCACTCAATATTCTCTTTCTCCCACTATTTTACAGACTGCAATTTTTTTTAAATTATAGTGCAGTCTTCCTGGCAATAATAAATTTATCTATATGTACACAAACCCATAAACATTCTCATTCTACCTCCTTTTTAAAATCATAATTCAATATTTGTTTCTGTTTCTTCAAATATACTAAAAATCACAGGAATGAACAGCAGGATACCAGTTACCTAAAAAGAGAGTGCGATCAAAGCAGATGAACAATGTTAATAACAGGAAAG